GGTGTCCTATATCTACTGTCGTTCAACAAGTCATTGGGGTGTATCAGGGTGGTGTCCTATGTCTACTGTCGTTCAACAAGTCATTGGGGTGTAACAGGGTGGTGTCCTATATCTACTGTCGTTCAACAAGTCATTGGGGTGTATCAGGGTGGTGTCCTATGTCTACTGTCGTTCAACAAGTCATTGGGGTGTAACAGGGTGGTGTCTTATGTCTACTGTCGTTCCACAAGTCATTGGGGTGTAACAGGGTGGTGTCCTATGTCTACTGTCGTTCAACAAGTCATTGGGGTGTAACAGGGTGGTGTCCTATGTCTACTGTCGTTCAACAAGTCATTGGGGTGTAACAGGGTGGTGTCTTATGTCTACTGTCGTTCCACAAGTCATTGGGGTGTAACAGGGTGATGTCCTATGTCTACTGTCGTTCAACAAGTCATTGGGGTGTAACAGAATGGTGTCCTATGTCTACTGTCGTTCAACAAGTCATTGGGGTGTAACAGAATGGTGTCCTATGTCTACTGTCGTTCAACAAGTCATTGGGGTGTAACAGAATGGTGTCCTATGTCTACTGTCGTTCCACAAGTCATTGGGGTGTAACAGGGTGGTGTCCTATGTCTACTGTCGTTCAACAAGTCATTGGGGTGTAACAGAATGGTGTCCTATGTCTACTGTCGTTCAACAAGTCATTGGGGTGTAACAGGGTGGTGTCCTATGTCTACTGTCGTTCAACAAGTCATTGGGGTGTAACAGAATGGTGTCCTATGTCTACTGTCGTTCAACAAGTCATTGGGGTGTAACAGAATGGTGTCCTATGTCTACTGTCGTTCAACAAGTCATTGGGGTGTAACAGAATGGTGTCCTATGTCTACTGTCGTTCCACAAGTCATTGGAGTGTAACAGGGTGGTGTCCTATGTCTACTGTCGTTCAACAAGTCATTGGGGTGTAACAGAATGGTGTCCTATGTCTACTGTCGTTCAACAAGTCATTGGGGTGTAACAGAATGGTGTCCTATGTCTACTGTCGTTCAACAAGTCATTGGGGTGTAACAGAATGGTGTCCTATGTCTACTGTCGTTCAACAAGTCATTGGGGTGTAACAGAATGGTGTCCTATGTCTACTGTCGTTCAACAAGTCATTGGGGTGTAACAGAATGGTGTCCTATGTCTACTGTCGTTCCACAAGTCATTGGAGTGTAACAGGGTGGTGTCCTATGTCTACTGTCGTTCAACAAGTCATTGGGGTGTAACAGAATGGTGTCCTATGTCTACTGTCGTTCAACAAGTCATTGGGGTGTAACAGAATGGTGTCCTATGTCTACTGTCGTTCAACAAGTCATTGGGGTGTAACAGAATGTTCTCCTGTGTCTACTGTCGTTCAACAAGTCATTGGGGGTGTAACAGAATGGTGTCCTATATCTACTGTCGTTCAACAAGTCATTGGGGTGTATCAGGGTGGTGTCCTATGTCTACTGTCGTTCAACAAGTCATTGGGGTGTAACAGGGTGGTGTCCTATATCTACTGTCGTTCAACAAGTCATTGGGGTGTATCAGGGTGGTGTCCTATGTCTACTGTCGTTCAACAAGTCATTGGGGTGTAACAGGGTGGTGTCTTATGTCTACTGTCGTTCCACAAGTCATTGGGGTGTAACAGGGTGGTGTCCTATGTCTACTGTCGTTCAACAAGTCATTGGGGTGTAACAGGGTGGTGTCCTATGTCTACTGTCGTTCAACAAGTCATTGGGGTGTAACAGGGTGGTGTCTTATGTCTACTGTCGTTCCACAAGTCATTGGGGTGTAACAGGGTGATGTCCTATGTCTACTGTCGTTCAACAAGTCATTGGGGTGTAACAGAATGGTGTCCTATGTCTACTGTCGTTCAACAAGTCATTGGGGTGTAACAGAATGGTGTCCTATGTCTACTGTCGTTCAACAAGTCATTGGGGTGTAACAGAATGGTGTCCTATGTCTACTGTCGTTCCACAAGTCATTGGGGTGTAACAGGGTGGTGTCCTATGTCTACTGTCGTTCAACAAGTCATTGGGGTGTAACAGGGTGGTGTCTTATGTCTACTGTCGTTCCACAAGTCATTGGGGTGTAACAGGGTGGTGTCCTATGTCTACTGTCGTTCAACAAGTCATTGGGGTGTAACAGAATGGTGTCCTATGTCTACTGTCGTTCAACAAGTCATTGGGGTGTAACAGAATGGTGTCCTATGTCTACTGTCGTTCAACAAGTCATTGGGGTGTAACAGAATGGTGTCCTATGTCTACTGTCGTTCCACAAGTCATTGGAGTGTAACAGGGTGGTGTCCTATGTCTACTGTCGTTCAACAAGTCATTGGGGTGTAACAGAATGGTGTCCTATGTCTACTGTCGTTCAACAAGTCATTGGGGTGTAACAGAATGGTGTCCTATGTCTACTGTCGTTCAACAAGTCATTGGGGTGTAACAGAATGGTGTCCTATGTCTACTGTCGTTCAACAAGTCATTGGGGTGTAACAGAATGGTGTCCTATGTCTACTGTCGTTCAACAAGTCATTGGGGTGTAACAGAATGGTGTCCTATGTCTACTGTCGTTCCACAAGTCATTGGAGTGTAACAGGGTGGTGTCCTATGTCTACTGTCGTTCAACAAGTCATTGGGGTGTAACAGAATGGTGTCCTATGTCTACTGTCGTTCAACAAGTCATTGGGGTGTAACAGAATGGTGTCCTATGTCTACTGTCGTTCAACAAGTCATTGGGGTGTAACAGAATGGTGTCCTATGTCTACTGTCGTTCAACAAGTCATTGGGGTGTAACAGAATGGTGTCCTATGTCTACTGTCGTTCAACAAGTCATTGGGGTGTAACAGAATGGTGTCCTATGTCTACTGTCGTTCAACAAGTCATTGGGGTGTAACAGAATGGTGTCCTATGTCTACTGTCGTTCAACAAGTCATTGGGGTGTAACAGAATGGTGTCCTATGTCTACTGTCGTTCAACAAGTCATTGGGGTGTAACAGAATGGTGTTCTATGTCTACTGTCGTTCAACAAGTCATTGGGGTGTAACAGGGTGGTGTCCTATGTCTACTGTCGTTCAACAAGTCATTGGGGTGTAACAGGGTGGTGTCCTATGTCTACTGTCGTTCCACAAGTCATTGGGGTGATATACATTAAAGCCTAAAATCATCACTTTACACAAATGGTAAGATCTTTACGCTGGGTTAGGGTAAGAGATAAAACTTTCTTTATGCAAAGTAATTTATGAATGGACTGAATATTGAAGGCACAAAATGCTTAAAAATTCGATAATAATAGTGGTATACTTATTGTTTTAGTATTTTGGTATTTAGTTTGTGGTTCGAACTTTCCTATTTTGTTAAAATTATTATTTTTTTCATCTGTTTTGTGACAATCAGGTTCATTATTTAGCAATTTAGTTATGAATTAGTTAATTAGGCGAGTGCGTCACCAATAAATATGGATTAAATGTAAAGCGAATGGAACCAATTTTGATGGCACAAAGCAATGTAAAGGTGAGTGGTCTCGAGGGGTGAAAACATCTTTAGGCCGACCTCTATGGGAAGTCAACATTGCTAGAAAGCCCACCTTTATCTTGTAGTCTGCCAAAAGAAAGGCAGTTTGTTTTCATTCATAGAAAATGCTCAACATGTCAATCAATGATTGTTATTAGTCCATCATCAATATTTGACAAAATACATATTTCACAAACACAGGTGTCAAACCTTTAGTAACAAACAGGAACAGTGGCGATGTAAATGTTTTTAATAGACTGCTGTTTGTGGGGAAATTATGTTCAAGAGTAGTCAGGTGCTCTTTTGGCACATTTCAATAGTTTAGTGACTAAATAAATACAAATGTATGATTTAAGTGTAAGGGAATGATATTCAGTTGGGTATTGAGTTTTTTAATGTACAGCGAAGCCTCTTTGTTTCTGATATAAATTCCACCAACAGATATGTTCAGTTTACATGATAGCCTCTAACACAAATATTCATTAACTATTCTACTGTACTGTCATCTGAATATACTCCACCAGTAACTTTGATATAATCACTCGATTCTGTGGTCTCCCGTAACACTTGTCGACATCACACTGAAATAATAGTCCTACGTTTGCCCATAACTGATTACATTAATTATAAACACTGTGAAATATATATACACTCCATAGTGAACTAATGATAAATAGTCTGAATATGTTGAAGACAGATTCACGGTTCTGTGAGATAACCGTACACATGTTTACAGCTTACTGTTAATATTGTTCTAGATGTATTCTTCAGAGAGACAAGAAAAAAGATATTTAAGGCTTGAATGATAAAGATTTGAGCTGACACTCAAAAATACATCAGTCTACAAATAAAAAACAACAACAACACACACAATTTGATCATTTTAGGATTTATACATCGTGACAAAATCTTCATTTCACACCTGCATTGTTATTCGGTCAGCCCTGCCAGTGTGATAACGAGGCCGGTACCTGTTTGTCGTGTTGTTGTAACCAGGCGACGGCTTGGTGACAAAGGTCTGGGTGTTCACTACAGTTGACATTGACGGTGATGTCGCCACTGCTACGCCTTTCACGTGATGAGGGTTTGCTAACATTCGGCTGTGGGACGTCTGAATGGCTACGCCTTTCACGTGCTGAAGGTTTGCTTACATTCGGCTGTGGGACGTCTGAATGGCTACGCCTTTCACGTGCTGAAGGTTTGCTTACATTCGGCTGTGGGACGTCTGCAGAATATGACGTTAACATAAGCTCCATGCTATCTGGTAGATTTAAATGCTTCATAGAAATTTGTAGCTTATTTTTCGACAGTTCTCTGATATCCGCTCCAGAGTAAATAAATTCTTCAGTGTTTAAGTCTGTATTGTCCGTCCAGCGGGAATCCTTGTTCGTTGAAGTTTGTTCGATATTAAAAGCTGGCTTCAGTTTATTCGGAGAGAAATCATTTTGTGAAGGTGAAGTGCTGACAGGTATAGGATTGGCAGAACACATGCCCAAGGTCAGCAAAACACAGAGATAAACACACATCTCCTGTAAACAACAAAACACAGAGATAACCACACATCTTCTGTAAACAACAAAACAGATAAACACACATCTCCTGTAAACATCAATACACAGAGATAAACACACATCTCCTGTAAACATCAATACACAGACATAAACACCCATCTTCTGTAAACAACAAAACAGATAAACACACATCTCCTGTAAACATCAATACACAAAGATAAACACACATCTCCTGTAAACAACACAAAGATAAACACACATCTCCTGTAAACATCAATACACAGAGATAAACACACATCTCCTGTAAACAACACAAAGATAAACACACATCTCCTGTAAACAACAAAACAGAGATAAACACCCATCTCCTGTAAACATCAATACACAGAGATAAACACACATCTCCTGAAAAAATCAAAACACAGATAAACACACATCTCCTGTAAACAACAACACAGAGATAAACACACATCTCCTGTAAACAACAAAACAGAGATAAACACCCATCTCCTGTAAACATCAATACACAGAGATAAACACACATCTCCTGTAAACATCAAAACACAGATAAACACACATCTCCTGTAAACAACAAAACAGAGATAAACACACATCTCCTGTAAACAACAAAACACACAGATAAACACACATCTCCTGTAAACAACAAAACACAGAGATAAACACACATCTCCTGTAAACATCAAAACACAGATAAATACACATCTCCTGTAAACATCAATACACAGACATAAACACACATCTCCTGTAAACAACAAAACAGAGATAAACACACATCTCCTGTAAACAACAAAACAGATAAACACACATCTCCTGTAAACATCAATACACAGACATAAACATACATCTCCTGTAAACAACAAAACACAGAGATAAACACACATCTTCTGTAAACATCAATACACAGACATAAACACACATCTCCTGTAAACAACAAAACACAGAGATAAACACCCATCTTCTGTAAACAACAAAACAGATAAACACACATCTCCTGTAAACATCAATACACAGAGATAAACACACATCTCCTGTAAACAACAAAACAGAGATAAACACACATCTCCTGTAAACATCAAAACACAGATAAACACACATCTCCTGTAAACATCAATACACAGACATAAACACCCATCTCCTGTTAATAACAAAACAGAGATAAACACACATCTCCTGTAAACATCAAAACACAGAGATAAACACACATCTCCTGTAAACATCAAAACACAGAGATAAACACACATCTCCTGTAAACATCAAAACACAGAGATAAACACACATCTGTAAACAACAAAACACAGAGATAAACACACATCTCCTGTAAACAACAAAACAGATAAACACACATCTCCTGTAAACAACAAAACACAGAGATAAACACCCATCTTCTGTAAACAACAAAACAGAGATAAACACACATCTCCTGTAAACATCAAAACACAGATAAACACACATCTCCTGTAAACAACAAAACACAGAGATAAACACCCATCTTCTGTAAACAACAAAACAGATAAACACACATCTCCTGTAAACATCAATACACAGAGATAAACACACATCTCCTGTAAACATCAATACACAAAGATAAACACACATCTGTAAACAACAAAACACAGAGATAAACACACATCTGTAAACAACAAAACACAGAGATAAACACACATCTCCTGTAAACAACAAAACAGATAAACACACATCTCCTGTAAACAACAAAACACAGAGATAAACACCCATCTTCTGTAAACAACAAAACAGAGATAAACACACATCTCCTGTAAACATCAAAACACAGATAAACACACATCTCCTGTAAACAACAAAACACAGAGATAAACACCCATCTTCTGTAAACAACAAAACAGATAAACACACATCTCCTGTAAACATCAATACACAGAGATAAACACACATCTCCTGTAAACATCAATACACAAAGATAAACACACATCTGTAAACAACAAAACACAGAGATAAACACACATCTGTAAACAACAAAACACAGAGATAAACACACATCTTCTGTAAACAACAAAACAGATAAACACACATCTCCTGTAAACAACAAAACACAGAGATAAACACCCATCTTCTGTAAACAACAAAACAGATAAACACACATCTCCTGTAAACATCAATACACAGAGATAAACACACATCTCCTGTAAACAACAAAACGGAGATAAACACATATCTCCTGTAAACATCAAAACACAGATAAACACACATCTCCTGTAAACATCAATACACAGACATAAACACCCATCTCCTGTTAATAACAAAACAGAGATAAACACACATCTCCTGTAAACATCAAAACACAGAGATAAACACATATCTCCTGTAAACAACACAAAGATAAACACACATCTCCTGTAAACATCAATACACAAAGATAAACACACATCTCCTGTAAATAACAAACCACAGATAAACACACATCTCCTGTAAACAACACAACAGATAAACACACATCTCCTGTAAACATCAATACACAAAGATAAACACACATCTCCTGTAAACAACAAAACACAGAGATAAACACACATCTCCTGTAAACAACAAAACAGAGATAAACACACATCTCCTGTAAACATCAAAACACAGATAAACACACATCTCCTGTAAACATCAATACACAGAGATAAACACACATCTCCTGTAAACAACAAAACAGAGATAAACACACATCTCCTGTAAACATCAATACACAGAGATAAACACACATCTCCTGTAAACATCAATACACAAAGATAAACACACATCTCCTGTAAATAACAAACCACAGATAAACACACATCTCCTGTAAACAACACAACAGATAAACACATATCTCCTGTAAACAACACAAAGATAAACACACATCTCCTGTAAATAACAAACCACAGATAAACACACATCTCCTGTAAACAACACAACAGATAAACACACATCTCCTGTAAACATCAATACACAAAGATAAACACACATCTCCTGTAAACAACAAAACACAGAGATAAACACACATCTCCTGTAAACAACAAAACAGAGATAAACACACATCTCCTGTAAACATCAAAACACAGATAAACACACATCTCCTGTAAACATCAATACACAGAGATAAACACACATCTCCTGTAAACAACAAAACAGAGATAAACACACATCTCCTGTAAACATCAATACACAGAGATAAACACACATCTCCTGTAAACATCAATACACAAAGATAAACACACATCTCCTGTAAATAACAAACCACAGATAAACACACATCTCCTGTAAACAACACAACAGATAAACACACATCTCCTGTAAACATCAATACACAAAGATAAACACACATCTCCTGTAAACAACAAAACACAGAGATAAACACACATCTCCAGTAAACAACAAAACAGAGATAAACACACATCTCCTGTAAACATCAAAACACAGATAAACACACATCTCCTGTAAACATCAATACACAGAGATAAACACACATCTCCTGTAAACAACAAAACAGAGATAAACACACATCTCCTGTAAACATCAATACACAGAGATAAACACACATCTCCTGTAAACAACACAAAGATAAACACACATCTCCTGTAAACATCAATACACAGAGATAAACACACATCTCCTGTAAACAACAAAACAGAGATAAACACACATCTCCTGTAAACATCAAAACACAGATAAACACACATCTCCTGTAAACATCAATACACAGAGATAAACACACATCTCCTGTAAACAACAAAACAGAGATAAACACACATCTCCTGTAAACAACAAAACAGAGATAAACACACATCTCCTGTAAACATCAATACACAGAGATAAACACACATCTCCTGTAAACAACAAAACAGAGATAAACACACATCTCCTGTAAACATCAAAACACAGATAAACACACATCTCCTGTAAACATCAATACACAGACATAAACACACATCTCCTGTTAATAACAAAACAGAGATAAACACACATCTCCTGTAAACATCAAAACACAGACATAAACACCCATCTCCTGTTAATAACAAAACAGAGATAAACACACATCTCCTGTAAACAACAAAACACAGAGATAACCACACATCATCTCCTGTAAACATTAAAGCACAGAGATAAACACACATCTCCTGTAAACATCAAAACACAGATAAACACACATCTCCTGTAAACATCAATACACAGAGATAAACACACATCTCCTGTAAACATCAAAACACAGAGATAAACACATATCTCCTGTAAACAACAAAACACAGAGATAAACACACATCTCCTGTAAACATCAATACACAGACATAAACACACATATCCTGTAAACATCAAAACACAGATAAACACACATCTCCTGTAAACATCAATACACAGAGATAAACACACATCTTCTGTAAACATCAAAACACAGAGATAAACACCCATCTTCTGTAAACATCAATACACAGATAAACACATATCTCCTGTAAACATCAAAAACAGAGATAAACACACATCTCCTGTAAACAACAAAACAGAGATAAACACATATCTCCTGTAAACATCAAAAACAGAGATAAACACACATCTCCTGTAAACAACAAAACAGAGATAAACACATATCTCCTGTAAACATCAAAACACAGACATAAACACACATCTCCTGTAAACAACAACACAGAGATAAACACACATCTCCTGTAAACAACACAACACAGATAAACACACATCTCCTGTAAACAACACAACACAGAGATAAACACACATCTCCTGTAAACAACACAACACAGATAAACACACATCCCCTGTAAACATCAATACACAGAGACAAACACACATCTCCTGTAAACAACACAACAGATAAACACACATCTCCTGTAAACAACAAAACACAGATAAACACACATCTCCTGTAAACAACACAACACAGATAAACACACATCACCTGTAAACAACAAAACAGATAAACACACATCTCCTGTAAACAACAAAACAGATAAACACACATCTCCTGTAAACAACAAAACAGATAAACACACATCTCCTGTAAACAACAAAACAGATAAACACACATCTCCTGTAAACAACACAACAGATAAACACACATCTCCTGTAAACAACAAAACACAGAGATAAACACACATCTCCTGTAAACAACACAACAGATAAACACATATCTCCTGTAAACAACAAACCACAGATAAACACACATCTCCTGTAAACAACACAACAGATAAACACACATCTCCTGTAAACAACAAAGCACAGAGATAAACACCGAACATTAGCTCATATTCCACTTAGGTTTTATATTTATATTACCTGCAGGCATTCCATAAGCGAGCAACTATTTTATTCAGATTTGACGTTATATCTGACAATGTGAAAAAAAAATCTGTTGTTGAAAAGATGGTCCAACTGAGCATAAACTGTCATTCAATCTGAATAAATCAAATTTAGTACAATACACTTTTAAAAGATTGACAAAATTCAAATAAGGGTATAAAGAATAAAGTCTAATAGCAGAGTAACATGTAATAAGGTTACGGCAACCCTCGGGGACCACAGTCCACAAACAGAGACCCTAAAGAGTCCAACAACCCTCGGGGACCACAGTCCACAAACAGATACCCTAAAGAGTCCAACAACCCTCAGGGACCACAGTCCACCAACCGAGATCACTAAGGTTACGGCAACCCTCGGGGACCACAGTCCACAAACAGAGACCCTAAAGAGTCCAGCAACCCTCGGGGACCACAGTCTACCAACCGAAATCACTAAGGTTACGGCAAACCTCGGGGACCGCAGTCCACAAACAGAGACCCTAAAGAGTCCAGCAACCCTCGGGGACCACTGTCCACCAACCGAGATCACTAAGGTTACGGCAAACCTCGGGTACCACAGTCCACTAGCAGAGGTCACAAACGTCACGGCAAATATCGGGGACTACATTCCACCAACCGAGATCACAAAGGTTACGGCAAACCTCGGGTACCTCAGTCCACTAGCAGAGGTCACAAACGTTACGGCAAATATCAGGGACTACATTCCACCAACCGAGATCACAAAGGTTACGGCAAACCTCGGGGACCACAGTCCACCAACAGAGATAACTAAGGTTACGACAAACCTCGGGGACCACAGTCCACCAACAGAGATAACTAAGGTTACGGCAAACCTCGGGGACCGCAGTCCACAAACAGAGACCCTAAAGAGTCCAGCAACCCTCGGGTACCGCAGTCCACCAACAGAGATAACTAAGGTTACGGCAAACCTCGGGGACCGCAGTCCACAAACAGAGACCCTAAAGAGTCCAGCAACCCTCGGGTACCACAGTCCACCAACAGAGATAACAAAGGTTACGGCAAACCTCGAGGACCGCAGTCCACAAACAGAGATCCTAAAGAGTCCAACAACCCTCAGGGACCACAGTCCACCAACAGAGATAACTAAGGTTACGGCAAACCTGAGAAGGAAAAGTCCATCAGCAGAGATCTTAGACCTTTGGGGCTTAAACTCAATCTGAAAATATCATAATGTGGATCAACACGTGGTATTGTTCTATACTTACCTTACTCAGTAAAACTCGTGTCTGGCTACCCGACAACAAAACACGTGCTTAGTTTTAAACTGTACTCTAGCATAAAGTCACTTTTATATGACGAAAGTCACAGGGAGATTAGTAATGGATAGATACACATGTCAATCCTTTTTGATGTGAAGACCATTTTTAGTATCTAACATTAGGTACACATCTTGATCAAAGTATGCATGTTTGTTCAAAATCGCCTCCTTTTTGAGCCCACAGTGTCTAATTCTGACTATGCACGTCACTTTAAGAATTCGGGGAAGTTGTAGGCTGTGTTCGAAGGGCTTTTAAAGGGATTTTGTAAAGTATTTTTTAAAAAAGATATTTCACGGCCATACCTTAACAGTGTATAAGGAGAAATATAGTTTTCAACACCTTTTGAGGCACAAAAGGCATAACGTGCACCTAGTCAGAATAAAACGTTACCTAAGAGTAAAGATCTTCCATTGGAATATCCTCTGTTCAATACGATATTTCACAATACATAGAAAGAATCGGGACAGAATGATATCTTACAAATCTTTCAGCGTTAGATTGTGTAACCTCCGCTACTTTATTAGGTTATTTCCGTCTCATGATCAGTTAAACACTCTGAAATCACCCATTGTTGTGTAAACACATACTGTCATCGTTGCTTTGATTTGAACTAAAATTTTACGTGTAATTCCTATTTGTATCTTAATAGTTTTAACAGTGTGCATTAATGAAGTCATTTACCAATTGCTTGGCTATAGCACAAGCAAAACAACAATATAAATAACATCGTTCTAGAAGATTTGCAAAATTTGATAATTCATTTATATACTTAAATATACTTGATTACCATATCTGAACTATAAAATGGAAAACTTTTTCTTTCTTATTTTTTTAGGTGAAAATATCTATCTTGCCTACACATAACCCCAGATGGCCTCTCGACTGCAGATTATTCTGAAGTACTCCATCTCTACACCGCATTAAAATGTTTGACCTTATCGGGGGAGTAGTGGGCTTGTTTCCGTATCTTTTCCTCATCAATCCCACAGAAAATAAAGTACGCCCGATCTAAATAAATCGGCGACACTTTTCGTCACAGCCAGTGTCCACCCCGGACTTTGGGCTGACGTGGCAAACAAGATCTATTTTAATACATGTTTTTAGATAAATGTCCCGCCTGTATACCATCAAGGCATGAGTCTTAAACGTGTACCAGTCGTGATCAGCACGAAAACTGTTATTGTTTTGTGTCATTGATAATGAATTGTGCCACGGTTAGGAATATATACCATGACACTCTCTTGAAATATTACGATATTATCTGAGCGCCAATCTTCGTTGATCTTTTATCTGTTCTGTAATAGTAGAAGTTTCTTCCTTTACTCTAAATAACACTCTATATGAAATTTGAAAATTTAATAAAAAAAAAAGCGATGATAATCGTTAACCATGAAATCCGAGTTAGTCGCATTGTCAAAATCAAATCGCTGAAAGGCTAAACATGTTGATGATATATGTGTTTTGTGACTTTAATGTGAAGCATAATCCATCCCGTGCAAAACAATCAGTCACTTTTATAGAAAATGGCTACTTACATTTTAGATACATTTTCCTTTAAATCAGTGAAATTAAGAGATTGCCACTGACAATGGTATTGGATACTGAACCCAGAGCAAAACTTTAAAACATATTTTACATGGTTTACTGTAAATACCCACACGTGAAGGGCGCGATTTTTCACGAAGAGAAATAAAGGTAAAGAATGGAGTGTTCACGTAGCTATGTGGTTTTGAAGGAAAGACCTTTCAACACCACCATAACTGACTGTCGGGATTATCTGGTACGCCAAAATTCATGAGCGACAAAAATGAATGAAATTATAATTACTGTATATATTAATGCCAACTATCCGAGTCAACGTCATCTAAACCCAGGACGACGTGTTTAAAAAGATAGAACAACTAGCAAAATTATAAATTAATGTTCGGTAAAGACAGCGAGAGGAGTGTGTGGAACATTGAAAAAATACGTCGATTTTATATAACTATCTTTTGAAACATTTGCTTTTTTGACTGTTAATAAATGACCGGATTTATTTTATTCTCTTTCTTGTGGGATATCACAACGGAGAAGTCATCTACACTTGTACACTAATGGTCAGTGTTGACATATCAGTATGCGGAGTCTGTGTTGTGTATTACCGGAAGTCAGTGTTGACATATCAGTATGCGGAGTCTGTGTTGTGTATTACCGGAAGTCAGTGTTGACATATCAGTATGCGGAGTCTGCTTGTGTATTACCGGAAGTCAGTGTTGACATATCAGTATGCGGAGTCTGTGTTGTGTATTACCGGAAGTCAGTGTTGACATATCAGTATGCGGAGTCTGCGTTGTGTATTACCGGAAGTCAGTGTTGACATATCAGCATGCGGAGTATGTGTTGTGTATTACCGGAAGTCAGTGTTGACATATCAGTATGCGGAGTCTGTGTTGTGTATTACCGGAAGTCAGTGTTGACATATCAGTATGCGGAGTCTGCTTGTGTATTACCGGAAGTCAGTGTTGACATATCAGTATGCGGAGTCTGTGTTGTGTATTACCGGAAGTCAGTGTTGACATATCAGTATGCGGAGTCTGTGTTGTGTATTACCGGAAGTCAGTGTTGACATATCAGTATGCGGAGTCTGTGTTGTGTATTACCGGAAGTCAGTGTTGACATATCAGTATGCGGAGTCTGTGTTGTATCTTATGACTACGGATTTATTATTTATTAAAATCGGCTTTATTGATGTTTACGAAGCATACCTGTGAGTCTTACGATCACACAATTACTTATCCGTAATGATAAGGATGGTCTTCACAATTATCTTACCATAACGTGTAGTAAATGACTGTTTAACGATGTACACTTGCCTCGTTTGCGATCAGCTGATGCGCGCACTTTGTGACAGCGGGATATGAAAGAAAACTTTACTCACGGAGATCGGAATTACCTGGGTCATGTATATTATTATGTGAAGAGGAATGTAAATTCAAGGGAACTTATGTGTTATATGTATGTGATAAATGATAAATGTCATAAAATGATTATGGCATGAATATTGTGAAAAAAAAAGAAATTTAACAATGTCCATCCAACTCAATTCATCATCCGAAAGAACATACAACCCTCAAGTGAATAATCTCAAGTCACTAGTCCCGGGGAGGTGACCTCCTAAAATCCACCACACGTGTCAGCATCCGAAGATCACACCAAACATTTACAAAATACAGTCACCATATCCCACAGAAATGTCAGTCTATGGTAGTTCGGGAGGGAAAACCAAATTCAACGCAATCTGTTTATCTTATATGATCTAGCGTCATTGCTAGAAACTAAAGGTCAATAGTAAAACTCGGCGAATTTTGAGTCACTTCTCCAATCAGCTGTATGAAGAATAATGTCCAATGGTACATTCGAAATGCCGGGGAGATTGAGTTGTCCTAGTACCATAAGGGGTTAAAATTGTCATTTCAATACCCGCTTTAACTAACACCACTTTAATCCATCTCGAGATTGTAGCTTTTAAACTAGAATTTGAATATTTTCATGAACACCTTGTCTGTCCTTGATTGTCTTAAAGCGACAGTATGCATGACACTGTTTTGTATTGATTTATTTTAACGAGTTTTACGTCCACTATTACGACCTTTCGGTCTTTCAGCGGACTGCACTGTTTTGAAAGATGGCGGCATTGCTTATTGCATATGACTGCCGCTAGGGGTCACTGATAATATTTGGAATATTCCCACCAATCAGAAAGCATGGACTGGTAGTAACAGGCTAAAACCGTTACAGCGTAGGGAGAAAGTTAGAGAAACCTTCGGATGAAATTTAAAAAAAAAAAGCTAGTTTCTAATATTAAAAACAACATTAACAAGCTTTCACAGTCAAAATCCAAGATTGCCACCTGTCAGCCATTTGCTTTCTGGTCAATCCAATAGCCATACGGCCATAAGTAGAGACTGAGGGAAACTTTCATATGGAATTAGAGAAAGAGCGACAACAAGAATTATTTACTGACGGAATACGGACCGACAATGGATATAGAGATATTAGAATATCCCATCACCTGATAGCATGGGGATACAGAACTGAAATAGATACATCAAAAACATAGAAAAAAGATCATATTCCAGAATCTTGTCAGGAAATAGGATTATTTACCGCGAAAGTCATGAAATGGAAAACAGCCAATCATTCCTACTGGAGAAATAGAAATCTAAAGAATTTGCTCTACTTCCCATATTGGGCCCACCCCTCTGAGCCCGAGGGGTGGGGGTGGGGGTGAGGGGCAAGACCAACTATTTATACAAAATTGATTCCCAGCAATTGGGCAAATTCCAATCATTACTACGGGAGAAGTAGGATATTAAAGAATTTGCTCTATTTTCTCTATTGGGTCACACAATTTAGGCTCTAGAGGGACGGTACCCACGGTTTATACAAAATTTGGTCTCATCTCCTAAGGATGTTTCTGACCAAATTTTGTCAAAATCCAATCTGTCGTTTGTAACTAGTAGCGATTTGCAGAAAAAAAAAGTTGACGAACGCCCGCGGTATGGTAAAAGCTCACATGTTCTTCGGACCAGGTGAGCTAATATTGACGTAATTAAAAATTCATCATTCTGTAAGTCTAGTACGTCACAGGAGAATCCCAACACATACCTTCAATGAAAAGTTAAAACCCCGACGGAAATAGTTCCTTTTGGTTATGTAAATAACAGAGTGTTAACAAGTACAATCCGAGGGTCCCGACCCTATCTCACGTATAAATATAAATATGGAAGATTTCTAGTGAGCAAATCAAATTAGACTTTGTAATCCGGCATCAACAGACCAGCATCATCGACACATCCCTCGGTCATACTGCGGGCGGTATCGGACCTCAGTAAGTACCATTTCCTTTAATATTACGTAAT